TAGCAAAGGTGGTAGCTCACCAATTGAGGGAGATCCGAGACCACCGGTTAATCTCGGCATTGACCAGCGAACGGAGCAAGCGAACATCACAGCAGCTTTCATTGCCGATATACTAGCTGAGGACCCGAATGCTGCTGTGATCATGGCTGGGGACTGCAATGAGTTTGCTTTTGTGGAGCCGTTGAAGGTCTTTGTTGCGGAATCTGGTCTGATAGATCTAGATGAGGCTGCTGGGGTGGATCCTGTCGAGCGGTACACATATTTGTTCGATATGAACAGTCAGGAGCTCGATCATATCTTTGTCAGCAAGAAGATCGCCGACCAAGAGCCAAAGCTTGAGCACATGCATGTCAACACTTGGGTTAGCTACGATGACCAGATCTCCGACCATGATCCTAGTGTAGCGCAGCTTAATGTCTGCTAGGCGGGTTTGAACAGCGATCTATTGAAGTCACCCATGTATCAATGTATCTTCACTTACCAGAGACTACGACCTGCTGTGTATCTTGTGCTTCACTTCTGTCCTTCATTTTCCATCCCACAGTCATCTCAGGCACTAGTCTCCACGATGTAACTTCGACAACTTCCACTTCACTCTCGCTTGCGCTATTTTCAATAGAGTCACAGCTTCCACTCAATGGGTTACACCTTCTCGAATACCTGTCGTACCGTCATTGTTGCTATCTGCGATAGTTGCGGTCTCACAACGCAGCGAAACAATGGCCACCTGGATTGAATTGTGAACCAGACTAGGATTTTCAGGTGGAACATGTCAAGATGCGGGTAAGAGAGGGTCGGTCGTCATGCAAACCATGGACATCATCCTAACAAAAAACAGCTTCGAAAGTTCTCTGTGTAGCAACACAGATTGCACCACTGAGACGAATGGCCGAGACTGGCGGACTCGCAGCTGGACCATGTGTGGCTAATCGACCTTCTTCACACTAGTGTGCGATGATGCGGAATTCCAGGTTGGTACATCACCGCGCTCCTGAACGATCTGACTGACTCAAAATAGGCAAGCATGGTACACCGCATCGTGCTTCGTCATGGTAGCACGTGGATGTTTGGTCGTCCGATGCATTGTCTCACCTACGACGCATACAACTACAGACATACCTCACACATCAACCACGATCGCGATAAAGCTAGGCCTTCGCCGCATTATCACAATTCGAGGTCACACCTTCAAGACCTATGTGGCAAGGGAAAGGATAGTCCGCGCCCGAATGCTAGGATTGATCTTCACGTGTACGATCTAGCTGAACAACGCAGCATTTCGAGGACTGAGGCGGCACGCTCCCAGACAGTTTTGTTGCAGCAAGATCCAGTACACAAAGCTGTCCGGCTTAATTCGCAGCTATTCTCCAGATCAGGTACAGGAGGATGGAAAATTGAAAGAGGCGCTCGCCCAAGAAATCGCTCGAGTATACAGAAACATTCAAGGCGTTGATAACTCTCAAGTCAAAGCGATCAAGAAGTGGTTGCAGGATGACAATGAGCTGTGTCATATGGTTATGGATACATCGGTGGGCTAACAAGTACGGGCGTGCTCCCCAGTCGCTCCTTCCTGGGTTGCTCCTTCCCATGGTCGTGCGTGAAGCTTTCTTTTCGAAGCCAACCGCAAAAATGGATTCAACCCACGCAGTTCATCACCACAAAAGCTCTACCGCAACATGGAGCAGTTTGTGCCACTCAAGGAACTTCCTGAGCTTCAAGCTCACCTGCAAGAGCGACGGCATGGCATTCTCAGCGACGATCGAGTCTCTGTCAGTCTCAGGACCATCGACACTGATATGCCTTTTGGCAAATTTGTTGACACATTCAATCCCATGGTTCCTGAAGCTCTCAGCGTCCTCCTCGATCCAACTAAGCCAGCAGATCCCGAAATCTTCGATTTGCTTCCTGACATCTTCACGATGGATCCCCGTATACTTCGAGTTTGTCTCGCCGACTACCTCTTGACTCTGGAAAAGGAAGGAGAAACTATGAAAACTTACACAGGATCTGGCAAGAACATAGCAAGAGGTGTCTACGCGAGACGTATTGACTACGAGACTCTGCAAAAGCTGTCACCTGGAGTAAAGCAAGCTGTTGACGCTGGCTTCAAGATTACCAGGATGTGTGCTTTGATGACGGTCAAGCTGTCACCAGAGATGAGCTTTGTCGGTGAGCTGCAGGGAAACATGCTGTTGAATGAAGCAGGCTTCTTGTGGGCGTTCTTTACGCACAAGAAAGGTAAAGATGCTGGCGAGAAACAAACATACGAACATTATATGAAGCATTGGTGCACCTGGGATGTCGACGGTCTTCCTTGGGACGGCTGCAACGTGGAGACTCCGGCTACTGAAGCTGTCTTTCACGTGCGTCTGTCTTCGGACACTATCCAGACAATTGACGAGGCAGGGAAAGAGAGGGCAAGAGAATATCAGTCGACCAAGACACGTCATGCAATCAGGAAGAAGTTGCAGGAGGAAGGGGACGAAGAGCGATGGGAGGCGTACGAAGAACTTGTCCAGGAGTACGATAGAAACATTCATCTGAAGCGAAAAGGAACATGGCCCAAGGAGAAATGGTACGATTATCTCGACCTACACAACGTGAACCAGAAGCGGAGAAGAGAGCAGTTCGATGAAGGTCAGCGTGAATCTTACGCTGCCATGATGCGGGCGGCGCAGAAGAAAATGTTGGCGAAGAAAGCAGCGACATTGACTGAAGAGCAGATGAAAGCATGGAAAGAAGCCAGGCGTGTGCAGAATAGATCGACATATCACAAGAGAAAGCTGTCACCTTACAACAGACAATTGCTTGAGGAGGGAGAAGCACAATACGAAGCGTTGAGAAAAGAAGCCGAAGCATGGGTAGCATCTTTCAGCAGCGACAGCTAGATAGTCATCAGGCGCTCTGGAGGATCAAAAGATAGGTCGTCAGCTTTCGGACCCCATTATGTACCTTGCCTCTTTCAGGAGGTGGATAGTCTCCTTGGCGTGATCCAAGAATCTATTCTTGAAGCAGGAATCCAACGTTGACCAGATCCAAAACAGATTCGCAGGCCTGCAATGTCGAGTTCGCGATGCACTACTTGCTAGATGGTCTTTCATTATGACACAAGATTCTCAGTGCAGGTTTCGCCTCAATTGTCTTCCGCAACTTCTTCAATTGCATCGACAAACGTTCTCTTGGCCTTTCCATTGCCACTGCTGACCACAAGTTGTTACCATCTCTACACAGTCCCGATCCAGCATACTACACAGCACAGAATATGGCTCAGGAAGAGACGCAGGGCAGCGCAGCTGCACAGAAGGGGTACGCCAAGCGAGCAGGTGAAAACACGTCAAAAATCCAGGCTGACAGATGGCAGGTTCATCGCAGGCTTGGAAGATAATACCAACTTCACCATCAAACTCTCATATTGCACATGGCGCGTCCACAGTCACGTAGTGGCTAAGAACTCGGCGTTTTTCGCCAAGATCTGCACTACCAATACCTGGAAGGTTGGTGACAGTGCTTTCAATGTGCGGTCTTCACGAAAGCTAAGCGCAAGCAGGAAAGCAAGGAGCGCGCCGTCGAGCTCCACGATGACAATCCATGGAGATTTGCCCGGCTCCTGCAGTTCTTCTATTTTGGCGACTTTTGCGTCGAGACGGATGAAGATATACCCGATTGCCCAGGTCTTGAGAAGCTGGTGAATATTCAGGACTCGACGACACAGTCCGGTCAAAGGGACGACGACGAAATGGCGGATGCCGGCTCATTCAATGGTGAGAGGATTATGGGCATGATTGACATCGCACGGAAGTATATGGCTCCAGCACTCGAAGATTGTGCGGTCAGCAAGTTCCGGATGTACCGGATATATAAGCCATCCCCACTGCACGCTTTAGTCGACCAGTGTACGCCGTTCGGGAAAGGAGATGAGAGCCTCAGGAAGGCTGTTGCAGAGAAGATCGCGGGGCTCTATGAGGACGTTCGAGGGGGCGATGATGAGGCGGGCAGAGGCATTCGAAAATGGATGGAAGAAGATATGGAGCTCTCGTGGTTGGTTATGGATGCGTTGGCAGTTCGCAAACGACTGTAGGTTCGAGCGACGAGGGCACTGCAGTGCGCGAGGCAAGCACCGACGATAGATCTGCCTCGTCGATCATGAAGCGACCGTGCCGCTGAGCCTCTTTGACTCCCCATTTTGCTTCAGATATGTGTACTCCGCTGCGATAGGGCCCCTCTCAACCAAACGTGCCCATTTAGCTCCTCTGCAACAGGTCAACGTTGCTTACTTCCAGTCTTTCGGGGCCGCTCGTATAGGCATCGACAAGGGGCGGTCTGCCAGTTGTTCGCTCTGCGAAGAGGCCGATAGTGGAAAGAGAGGAGAGGAAGCAAGATAGGGTGAACCCATGGGTACATGAACTACTGTAGGTAGGACTGACCGTGCCATGATGAGATGAGTTGTGGGTGTAGTCGCTCATGCTTTGAGGAGGAGAGATGGAGCAAGGCCTGTAGCAGATAAGCTGTGTCGCGCGGAGCGTAGTCGACTGTTGGAGATGCACATAAAAAGTACGCATGATGTTCGACTGCATCGACGTGAACCTCGTAAGCGTAAGTCTCGAGGTATGTGGTCAGTCTTATCGAGGTCGAGGGGACAGCTATGCCATTGCTGGGAACCTCCTGCGTAGGGTATATAGCAAGTACTGCACTGTCCCTGTGCTTCAATCGAGTGAGCAACTCAGGTGCAGTATCAATGCCAAATGGTACTGACAGGCGCTTGCCGCAGCAAGAAGTGCGTTGTTAAGAGTAGAAGAAGGAAGGTACCGTGATGTGCTCGAAATTGAAAGCTGTGTGTGGCCATCTTTTCACGTGCTAGTGATGCTTACAATGTAAGTACAGCTGAGGTGTTTATCAGAGTCGTACCTTCACTTTTAGGGGGCAAAAGCTACCTCACCAAAACCAAAAATCCATCGTCCTCCAGGATCGAACACAGGTGCGTGCGATAATGTGCAAAACAATGAGGACAGCCCGGATTGAACGGACGACCTTCTGATATCGCAGTTAGGAATGACTTCCAATCTGGAGTCAGACACTCTCCCACTGAGTTATGTCCCCTCTCGGCCAAGGAAAGGTCGATTGACCAAATGTGCCAGATATTCTGAGCACTCATAATATATGCGTTAAGCCGGGCTGTCAGCCGTGCCGGATGCTTGTGTGCCGAGTCATGCGGAAGTGAGCTCGGGCTGAAGTTGTTTGCTCCTGCCTGTTGGCGCAAAGGACTTGTTTGCTAAACTGCTCCGTGTCAGGAGGGGCGTATCAGGTTTTCTTCACTGCTGTCGCTAGGAGAACACCATAGAAGTGCGCTTATCATTCGATGACTGGATTCAACCTCTCAAGCACTCCTTCATTCTTTCCCCTTCGGCTTCTTTTCCGTAATTCTGCCTCGTAAATTAAGTCCACCGTCATCCCCTCCCCTGCGCCCTCATCGCCAACTCCTCCACATACCTCCTCATTGTATCCCACTCCGCCTTCCCCGTACTCACGAGATACCTGATCTGACCCGTATCTCTCACATTCTTATTCCTCATGAACTCGCCCTTCGCGTGCGCCATCGGCTCCCTCCTCGCATCTGCATCAGGGATTCGATATACGGCGCGTGTGATGTTGCGGTAGAGACCTAGCACTCTCGATCTGAGAAGGAAGTGCTCGAGCGAGAGAGCTGGGGCTTTCCGCCTTGGGCGTGTGGTTACTGGTGACTGCGGTGCATCAGGTGGGGAGGCTGCGGGCGGTGCTGTTGTGGAAGAGGATGGCGCAGACGTCACGCCTGTCCGTAGACTTGCGGCTGTTGGATTTGAGACTGGTGTGGCGAGGCGGCGGATAAGAGTCGAGCGCATGAGGTTGGAGATGGGTAATTGACTACGTGCGGTACGATAGTGGTGAGAAAGATTGCAAGCGGATATCTTGTGAGAAGGAGCGGACACTGTGAATCAGCAGAGACAATACTAAGCTACGAGAATTCTCAGACTTCAAAGGATCACGGATCGAAAGTCGTGAAAGGGATTCATGCTCGACACCATTGTCGAAATGACGCAGTCTGATGCCTGAAGATCCAGGCATGACGGAGATACGATTGAATTAGCCATGCATCACATACCGTTCCATCTGTATCAACACTTACCGTGAACCCATCTGATCACCTCGTTGCCGTACATCGTGAGGCTCTTCAACTCGAGCCCAACTTTGAAGACATGTCGAGTAAGGTAGCGGGCTATCTCTCCTACCTCCCACAGTGACTCGGTATGGCACGTAAGGTGAATGGTTCGCTTGTCAAGCGCAAGTGTCGGAGCTTGATTACAATCTGCCATCTTCTCGATGACGAACTCTGCTTCACTGAAGTAGAAAGCACTTGCCTCGCCGCGTACGGCTTTGCTGGTCAGAGACAGAGACTTGTACGCTGCAACCGTGAGCATCGAAGAAGGAGTGCGACCGTACTGATCGTGCTTGTGGGGGGTCATCGCAACATAGGTTCCTTGAAATAGTGCTCGGTAGACCTGGTTGCGGATCTCGGGTGGGATGTCGACCAGCCATTGCTTCGTTGTCATGGTGGCAGACGACGATGGTTGTGGGTGGAGGAGTATGAGTTGGGAATATGCTGCAGCTCATAAGATCGCAAGACGATTTATATTCAGTCAGTTATATCGGCATGAATGCAGCCGATGCTTGCACTCGCGACGTAGCCCAGCAACGACGTGCGGACGTTTGAACGTGCACTCTGTCACCTTCCTCGTTTTGCGAAAAAGTGACACACGGTCATGATATACTCAATCCCTGAAGCTGCTTCAATGCTTTCGCTTGACGACGAACCTGGGTATTGCGGCGACAAGCGCTTCTGCATCCGAACCCAAATTTATTCATGGAAATCGTCGAGCTACCAGACGCATGTCTCTATCATCACGACCATTAATTCCCAGAGAACGATAATATCGTCAACGACCACGGCAACTTTTCTCCAGGTCATCTTGTGAAAATGATAACAGAGTCGCAGGTTCAAGCACTCGCAGGTCGACACACCTGACACAACCGTAGACGCAGTGCATGCCAATTACGGAGTACGGAGAACACCGTCTAGAGGCACTTCATGAATCGAAGTGTACCTGCGTCGAGGCCCAAACGGCCTTAAAATTCATCCGACCTGGACAAACGACAATGCTTACGAAAACAACATTCTAGGGGCTTCGTGCATGACGCAGCTTAGGAAAGCTGTAAGGGAAGTCAGTTTGAGAAAAAGGTGAAGGCAGATGGCACTTTTGAATTGCCTCGACCGCCGAGAAACGCGGAGATGAAACCCGGGAGTTCGCAGTACTGCGGGCATGATCGTGCCTGATTTGCGGCCCGGAGAACTCCTTCAATGCCCGGAGTTCAGCTTCCTTCTCCATCAGTCATTCGTTCTGCAAGACTCAGTTTCGAACAAGCTTGCAATGGTTCATCACTCCTTTTCAAAGCATGCAGAAAACAAAAAGGATCGAATGTTTGACAGTCATATTTGCATTGTATCTGTCAAGGAGAGTACTATCGATTACTCTAGATATGCCTTATATACATTAAGGAGAGTCATCAGGACATAATTTTGTTCCATCCCAATACAAGCCACTATTCGGGCTATGCAAAACACCAGATCAAACCCATTACCATGCAAATATGCTGATATTATAATGCTGTTGAACTAATTGTCCTCAGCTTACCACTTGCCCCAGCCGGAGGACTTGGCAGCTGGTGTGTCCTTGGCAGCTGGTGTGTCCTTGGCAGGAGCTGGGGTCTCCTTGACTGGTGCTGGAGCGGGAGTGGAAGCACTCCACTTGGCCCAGTCGGAGCTGGAGCTACCACATGGTTGAGTGACAGTGACCGGTGCAGGGGCTGGCTTGGTAATAGTCTGAGCGGGTGCGGTCTCGACCTTCGTCTCATATTTCGTCTCATACTTGGTCTCGTACTGAGTCTCCGCTGGCGGCGCGGGAGCCGTCTCTACCTTCGTCTCGAACTTTGTCTCATACTTGGTCTCGTACTGAGTTTCCGCTGGCGGCGCGGGAGCTGTCTCGGTGATGGTAATCTTGACCGGTGGTGGTGGCGGAGCGGTAGATGTGATAACAACGGTCTCCGGTGGTGGGGGTGGAGACTTCTCGGTCAGCGTTGTTGTGACTGGAGGTGGAGGTGGCAGAGTGATGGTCGATGCCGAGCAAGTGAGCTGACCCCCTTCAGAGTTTGTCTTAGCGGGTGCTGGGGCAGCTGTGGTCGTTGGGGCAGCAGAGCTCTTGCCCCAAGCATTCCAGTCCCCGTTGCCTGACTTCTCAGCTGGATCGCTACCTGGGAGGGCAGCAGCTGACGCAGCAGCGACGAGAGTAGCGAAGTAGAAGCCCTTCATCTTGAATGATTGAAGTGAATGTGTGATTTGCTAAAAGCGATAGACTGATGAAGGGTCTGAAAGGTGATTGATTTGAATGCTTTGGATGTTGGTGAGCTTGATGATGAGAAGAAGTCCTTGAGATGGACGACTTGCCATTTCTTATACCATTGGGAACGATGATCGTCTTTGTTGTCTTACCTTCCTGAGCCTCGTATGCCAGTGACATAATTACCATGAGGCCGACAGCCGATCTGGTGGTACGTTCTGGGGAACAAGCACTGCCCTAGGGATCCTTGCTGACCTTTCCGATCCTATTGGGGCCACTAACGAGGCTAGAAATGGCTCCACATCTTAAGGAAATGCACAAATACACACAAGCATGCAGGCGAGGTGGGCCTCATTGCTAATGTGCTCATACGTACTGCTGTGTTGTTGCAACAAAATGCGCTGGAGGTGGATCGATGATGTTGCGTGCGAGGTATGCATAGCGTTGTTGTGGTTGACTTACCTGCTCTGCTTGTGTGTGATGCAACAAGCTGATTGTACAGCAGCTTGCTTCAGGTCTCAAACCTTGGACGATCATTGTCGATGTTTCACTCAAGTGACTATCAGTTGCCAGCGTGACAGTGTCGGGTCCGTGCCCGTTGTTGTGTTGCGGCTGGGAACCCGACAAGGATGCTGACAGCAGGCCTCACTGTCGATGAGGCAGGAGCCATATGCTGGGTCTCCGGCAATGTTGAGAATAGTAAGATGTGTAAGGATCAACCTCACAAAGTCGGAAAGAAGGAACAAGCCTTGATGGCTGGGGAACGCGTGGTGGGTAGCCTGGTAAGCTAAACTCCGATGGGCTAGCATGTGGATTGGCATGACACGTTCCTGGCCTAGCGTCAACGGTCGTAAGCCGAAAATAGGCGATCGGCGAAGGCTCAGCACGAGTTTTTGGCAGCAACACGGGCCGGAAGGTCAAGGGTTCAGATCCGTCATAAGCACTGGTTCCTGCTTCTGGCGATGGGTTTAGTAAATTGAATTGAATCGACCGATTGGGGGCTGTCACTCACTACGCATTCGTGATCATGGAGCACATCTGCAAGACTCGAATCCTTCAAGACCTGCCTGCAGATGTTGCCAGGTGGACAACGCTATCGATAACTCGTTTATCGATATGGATTCTGCCCCGGCAATCCTGCATCCTACAGAAATGGTTTGAGACATCGACGTCAAATTCCTTCCTTCGATCACCAATCTCACCCGTGGAAGCAACACGGCCGATGAGACTGATTGAAAATGGCTAGCAACGTACAGCCGTCTCTACCTCGGGCTGAAGCCAGCAAATACGTTCCGGAACGTCATACTAGTCCAAGCCTTGGAGTCTCCAGGAAAATGGCCTCGATGGCCCACAATGCCCCAAACTCACGACTGGGCTGGTGGCCTCCAAGCGACCGGATGCAACATCCCACGGTACTCAAAGTTCAGATTACTGTACGTTCTACAGAGAGCACGATGCAGCATTCAACAAATTTCGAAACTCAATATTGCAGCGTCCCTCAAGAAAGCTCGCCGCAAAACGTCAACAATAATACTCGAAGTTTAGCTTGATGCATTCTTGTCCGGAAGCCCAAGGGCCGAGATTCTACCTAAGACAACGACGATGACAAGGCCGAGCACGAGAACAGCTTTGGAGTGCAATCTCGAGAAGGCATTCGTTGTACGAACATAT